AATTTCCTTTTCCTTCACCGGTTGTGCCGACCCGAGAGACCCACTTCCTGATGTATTCTAAAAGTTATGGTGGACGGAAGTGGGCTTTGCTTGATATCTCTTTGGCCTTCATTTACCCCACTCCATGTATTGCCACTGGCCTTACAAGAATCTTAGATAGTACAACTGAGAAAAACGAGGTGGGACGCTCTTTCGTATAAACACGAGTCACAAACACGGGCCCTTTTACTCACATTCATACCTACATACATACATACATACATACATACATATATACATATATACATATATATATATATATATCAATATGTTTTTGTAGAAGACAATACTGCTCCGATTGAATTCAATGACGATCTGAAAACATCATACATGCATACACCTACACACACTCCCATCTATATAATGCTTTGAAGTCCTTAATCAATTACTTTTGCACCTTAGGTTACTTGGGTTGAACATGTTGAAGTGGACAATCATGGTGTTCATCATCTGTACAAGGACATTGTTAGCTCCTGTCAAGGGTTTGGAGCCACAAGATGGATTTACAGTCTCGATAGACAATGTCAGAGGTTAGCAAGCTCGATGGAGATCAATGCTGCCATAGGTGGTACGTAATGTCATTTACTACTTCATTATTCTTGACCCAATTTATATACATATTATATGAATGTTTTGGTTTTGCTAATATATGGAGTGAGGAATTTCAGTAATTACAAATCAAAAAGGAAAAGCTGGTATGTTGAAGCTGGCTGAAAGAATGGTTTCTATGTATTTCAACGGGGTTAGTGCTTCGAATAACACTGGCTGGGCGAAACTACTCGGATCTGGAATTGATGATGTCAAAATAGCGACAAGGTCTAATGTGGATGAACCAGGCAGACCATTAGGCGTTTTACTGTGTGCTACACATTGCTTATGGCTTCCTATTGAATCAAGAAAGCTCTTCGATTTCTTTCGTGATGAGAACAATCGAAATAACGTATGTGAGCCTATAAATCTCTAGTTAGAATCTGTGAATCTAATCATTTTCTTGCATCTATAATTTAATTGAATTTCTTTATTGAACTCAATTACTAATTAGATTATACATGTGAGATTTTATCTTCACTTATATTTTTAATTAAATATTTTTTTTGTGATAATCGTTAATAGAATACATGCATTACGTGATATATGTTCATGGAAGAAAAATATTTATACGTTCTTATATTTATGCATGATTTTGAAACTCTTTATAAATATTTTATAAACATTCTTATGCATGTATATCACGTTTACTAAGAGTTATCGTGTTATATTAATTGAACGTGTATTTTACGAATCCATCAAATTTTGTCAATAAATTTAATTATTCCTTAAATTGCATGTTAATTTTAAATTTTATATCTATATTTAAATCAAGATCTTGTTGTAACGTCAATTTATTTAGGTGTATTATATATATGCATGCATGTTTATGAATGTTTTGCATTTATTTCAAGCATTTTGTGCACGTTCACGTGCACAATACATACATATTTATTTATATAGTTCAATCATTTTACATTTATTTAAATTTTAAAAAAATACAACGATTTTTTAAATATTGTCGATAATTAAGCTTATATATGTATATATCTTTAATACGTTTAGAAAAAAGAAGAAAAATATATATACTATTGATGAATATCAATGATATGAATATATCTTCCTTAGCTAACTTCTCATGATTTTTTTTAATCTATAATACAGTGGGATGTTCTTTGCAAAACTGGATTTGTTCAGAAAATTGCTCACATTGAGAATGGGAGGGACAGTGAGAACTCTGTCTATCTTCTTCGAGTGAATGTAAGTAAATTACAAATAAAGATAGAAATTCTTTTGGGTTTTTTCTGGGGTCAACATATGTAAATTACAACCAGATATAAGAAATCTTTTCTTTTGCTTAATACTCCATTTGACTCATATAATTAACACACACATATATACTTTGTTTTATTCACAGGCTGGTGATGGAAGCTTGAGCAACACAGTGATTTTACAGGAAAATAGCATAGATGCAACTGGTTCCTTTGTTGTTTATGCTCCTATGGACACCACTAAAGCTTATAATATTCTTGATGGCGGGGATCCTCAGTTCACAGCCTTTCTTCCATCTGGTTTCGCCATCTTTCCCAATGGACCAAACAGATCACTTCTAACTATTTCTTTTCAGATTCAGCTCCATAAAATTCCTACTGCAAAATTTTCTGATGATTCAATTGATGAAATCAAGAATTTAATTGCCGACTCCCTGGAGAACATCAAGACTGCTGTGATGGAAGAAGTTGGCCAGTCCTCGGGAGATTAATGTTTTAATTATGTCAAAAACTTGGAATAATTCTTACAATGCCCCTTTATCAGTTTGTTTTCATTTTGTTTTGCATGAATGGACATAATTCCCGTTACCAATAAATTAAACTCTCTTTCTTTTTTCTCTTATCTAGGACTCGTGATTTGATTCTTTTTTTTTTTTTTTAAAAATCATTTTCCAACTATTATATTTCTGTTATATATTACGAATATATATGTGTTTTTACAGAAACTAATTTATAAAAGATGTATTTACTGCATTTATCTAAGTGGACCGGTCCAAAATTGTTACAACTCATGTCCAATTATATTATAATGTTTGGGTTCTACATTCATTGTTAATCCAAACTCAAGCCTTTAACATTATGGATCGGATTCTCCTGATGGGCCTCCCCTTAGCCCATTCAAGGCCCTCGACAAGTCTGCTCTGACCCGACCCATAAATATGGACACTCACCTCCCCCCCCCCCCCCCCATCGTACGTGTCTCGGGGTAAGTAGAGAACAAGCCCAAACAAAAGAAAAGGAAGCCATTTCCAAATCACGTTTGTCATACCTACCCATGTTTTTCCTGTCCGCTGTAAAACTGTGGGTTATGGAAAACAAAACGTTACATTTCGCTTCTCTATGACACCATGTGCCCTTAATTTTGGCTTTTTATACCTCACATGTTTAAAAACGTCTGAATCCTCTCTATGAGATTGTACTAACTTTATAAATTAACTTTTATCATATGAAAAAAATAAATAAAAACATGCATGGTAATTAATCTTTAGATGTGATGCTCAATACTTGTAACTATGAGAATTTAGGTACAAATTACATTTTCTACCTACGAGGAGGAACGCATATTGTTCTAATTTTATATAAAAGTTTATACGAGCTCGATCTTTGTAATTTTAATTACAAAATTTATTATATTTGAATTTGTAGAAATGTGTACAAATTTTTAGTGAAAATAATTATACATTTGCTGTACAAATTTTGAATTTATTGTAGCTATAGCCTAATTAAATTTTATTTTAAAAAAAGTGTAATTAGATATTTTGCCATGAAAATATATAATGAAAAAGAAATGAGCTTTTTTTTTTTTAATCTATGTTGGTGTTTCCTAAGGATAGGATACCTTAATAAATTCTTTTCTTTTTGACATGATGACTTACTTTTCTATTACATGTTTGCAAATGAAGATTTTGCTTGTTGTAATTTGTGCAAAAGAGTGTGTAGGTGGGACCTTTAGAAGATCATTAAGTTTAATTTTTGAAGTATTAAATGGAAGGTGTTAGATGGGAATGGATGTTAGTCATATTAGATTACTAGGATCCTTAAACTAAATAGTTTTTGTTATGTGATATATAGATATCTATTATATTTATATTTTGTGATTTTCCACAAAGGGTGAAGATGGTATTAACTTTTTTTAAAAAAATTTATTTTGTATTTCAATCTAATTTATTTGTTTATAAACCTATTTATTTGGTTATAGGTAATTTTTACAACATCTTTTAATAGAGAGATAATTTTTCAATATTAAACTATTTTGAGAGATTTATATTGCTTGGTCAAAAGATTCAACATCATTCGAATTGACACATGTTGTCACAACTACTATCTGTCTCGGGATTATGTCTTTTAGTGCTATTCCACCGTCTATCAAGGGTCATGTTAATGTCTTCTTTTAGTAATTAGAGAAGCTTTTTCAATGTATTTATGTTATGCTCTTTGTATTTTTACTCGTTTATTTGTAGATATCTGTTTTTGCTATACTCTTTGTAATTTCTAGGATTTAGTGTTTGTATTTTGTAAAATTGTTATTTCGTGCATGATATTTTATATGTCTTTCTATTCAACAAAAAACTTGCCTTGTTTTGTTTTATTTTTTTTTTTAAAATTTTTCAACTTTTTTCATATATGAATCTATTTTATTGGAAAGAGAAGAACTTATATATTTAACATATGAGCAAAGTCAAAAATAAAATTTTTGTCTAGAAAAATGTATAGAGAAATGATATATTCATACAACTTTTAAATGATATAGTGATTTTCAACTCTTTTATAATATAGGCAAGTCTAAGTCATATATGTCACGACTTTTTAATATCACTATTATATTTTATTGTGTCTTTAATCTCCTAAGTTATTTTTATCATATATTGATATTAGTGCTCGGCCAACAAGGACAACCATGTGTATAACAAGCTTATTTAGATTATAGCCACACTAACAGAAAAATTGAGTGTATAACAATGTTGTAATAAGAAAAAACATAGGTAACTTGAGCAAATCAGCACAAATCGTTTATGATAATAACATGATAGTGCAACATTAAGTTCTATGATTTTTTTTAAAAATTCTCATTTAAGTACTCAAACGACTATATTAATTAGGTCACAGATTTTAAGGACCGAATAAGTTTTCAAACGGCTACTATGACAACGGCTACTGTGACAACGATTATGTAATCATTTCGAAACGTTTAGTCAAGTTGTTAGACCAGTTACCTAAAAAATTTTGTCGCTAAGCAGTATTTTACACTAAGTGATTAGTCATCATTATCTTTCTGTGGTCACGATTAAGTCGTGGATAGTAATATTCACTTTTTTTTCTCTTTTTTTGAGATAATATTATCGAAATTCGAACTCACAGTATTAATAAAGAAACGTTAAATTATTTTTCTTTTTTTTCCTCTTTTTTATGAGGAAGAGCAAAATGAGGAAAAAAAAAAAACAATGAAGCACATTTCTGAAATCTCTAAATCTCAATTTAAAAAATTCCTAATTGATAAAATTTTGAATGGAAAGTATTGATTAATTGAGATATTATTAGATATTTTCCCCTAAGAGTAGATGGAAAAACAAATTATGAGATGAAAATTAAGAAAATAATTAACTTTTTTGCTTAAAACAAAACAGAAAAAAAAAAAAAAGAAGAAGAAGAAGATATGAACAAGCAATCTCACTATATATTTTACCCCATTTTCTGAACGTTATAATTGGAATTAGTGCTGTAGTTGCAGAAAATAACTGGCTGGCTGGCTGAGGCGGAGGGTTGCTCTACTGGCAACACGTGTTTTCCACGCGCCTCAAAAGCTGGCCGGTGGTTTTCTGGCTTAATTTCCATGCTTAACCCCGAAAGGTTCATGAACCGCCGGGAAAGGAAGGATTCGCCGCCAGTTGTGGCAAGAAACGCCCCATTGCCACCCTCTTGAGTGCCACGTGTAATAATACCCATTTTGGTTCATAGAAATTTCGTACTACCTTCCGACGTCTCCACCCACTTCTATATAATAACACCAACCCGTTCAACCCTTCGTCACAACCTCTCTCTCACTAAAAATCAAGAAGAGCAAATCTCGCATCCCATGGCGGACGAACTTGTCGGTTTCTCGAAACTCCCTCTTGAGCTGGTGGCCATGATCATTACCTTCCTCTCCTACTTCGACGCCTTTCGCCTTTGCCTGGTGCGCAAGGACTGGTACCGGAACAATCTCTGGTTGCGCTGCGGCTCTATTGATCTCGACGAGACCACCTTCATGTACAACTCAGCCAGGTATAATTTCATCAACATTGGCCGGAAAACCCGAGCGCAGGAGCTGAAACGACGTGGGAAGCTCAGATTCGTCGATTTCTTGAACCGAACAATGCCTCAGTTGGTGACTCCGGTGATGTCCAGGCTCAACTTCCGCATGTGTTACGCCGCTCAGTACCAAGAGCTGATAGATAACCTGATCAAATTCGCGGTTGCCAAGCGAGTTGCAAACTTGAGCTTGGATTTCTCAGACGGAGACCCATTGTTGAGCATGGATCCTCCGCCGAGGTCGATTTTCTGGAGGTTCGAAGAACGACCATCGTATGTCCTACCAAGCTGCTTCTTTGAAGACGCCAAAGCGATCAGGATCTTGAACCTGACCTGCTGCTGCTTGGGCGTTTTCAACTTTAAGGGGTTCTTGAGGCTGACATATCTGTGTCTGAAACGAGTTAACGTTTCAGAGGACGAGGTTATCCATATCCTGAAGAGCTGTCGGCTGCTGGACACTCTGAGTTTGTTGGATTGCCGTGATCTGCCCAGGTTAGAAATCTATTTACCGGCACTGCGGCTGAAAAAGTTGATCGTGAGGGATTGCAGTCCGCTTTCGCTCGGAATCGAGCTGCTCCTTCCAGGGCTTCTGTACTTTGAGTATGCAGGAAGGCTGGTCTGGTTCAGTCTGAAAAATATGACTCACCTGGAGGAAGCTGTATTTGATTTTCCTTTGGATACTACTCTTCCATACTATTCTCAGGAGCTAAAGACCTTTCTTTGTGGCTTTGCTAATGTCAAGATCCTATCGATCTGCACCTACGCTATCAAGGTATCTACATATACATATATTTATATATAAATTCATTTTCTCTATGATATATAAATTTTCATGCTACAAGATGATTTAATTATGGTTTAAAACATGGTTAGGCAAATGATGATCCTCATTATTCAATTAACTAGTGCATTAATAATAAATTCTCATGAAACTCAAATTTCTTTTTTTTTTTTTTTTTGTGATTTGTTTTATGCAAAGATATATGCTATTTGATATCCAACCTTCATTGATTACTCTTTCTTTTTACTTATAAAATGTAAGTGTTTGAATCTATTGTGGTAACACACACATGTAATACATTGGTGGTTTCATATATGATTTCTAAACTTTGATCGTTAACTAGAATATCTAAATAGAATATTAATTGATGTAATGGGATATGAATTCGTTATCTTTATATTATAAATCGTATAAGAATTAATTATAGAATTTAATAAAATTTTGATATATTTTATATTAGGATTTCTCTTTTAAATTAAGAATAAATTTTCGTATATGATAGAAATTGTATTAATTTTATCTCAAATTAACATAATTGGAATTCACATCAGATGAGAAACGATCTTAGGGTTTTAGTGAATGGAAGCAAACAAAAAAGTTAGTAGTGATAAGAAGATGTAATATTTGTAACGACAATTTATTATTCAGAAATAGAAAAATTAATTAAGACTAAATTCTCTTGTTAATCTTATAAGAATAACTTTTTTTTGGTTGTATAATTTTATATTTATTTGTTGATTTTCATAAAGAATTCTCTACCCTCATGACATATGTTTGTATATATGTATGTATACATAACTAGATCCTCCCTTCGGAGTACATGGAAGGACCATCATATTGCAAACTTCTGTTCGCTGAGCATCTGACTCTCAAGACTCGCGCTGAGCCAATTGAGACCCCGGGGATATTGTGCTTCCTTCAAAACTCACCTTTGCTGAAAACTCTCACCATTCTTGTATTTCTTCCCCAACGCCCCAAGGTCAGTATATTATATAATTTCATACATACATACATACATACATATATATATATATACACACACACACAACAACAACAACAACAACAACACAATATATTAACGATAGTATTTTGATTTTGGTTTCAGTTCACTCCGTCTGGCCAAAATCGTGGGTACAGCGAGGAAGCATATTATGGGATGCTGGAGAAGAGCGAGACGGATTCTCTGGATCGTCTTGAAGAAGTTGAAGTGTATGGATTTACTGGGAGGTACCATGAAATTGAGCTGCTGAAGTTCATCCTGAGATCTTCCAAGTCGCTCTCCAAGCTGACTGTCACTGCGTGGATTTCGATCAACCCAGAGTATTACTCCAGGGCAACTGAAGAAATCATGCGTGCAAAGGTTGCTTCCGAGTCCATCGTCTTCACCTGGCGTTGAACTGCTGCATTTTCAGATTATATTGATTGATATCTTCCATGCATTCTGCCGATTATGTACGCATGAAGCTATAGATATCAGATGGGCTAGTATATTTTACCCGTGTTTTGGGAGATAAATAACTTCTCATGGGAGAAGCATTGTGTTTGATATTTCCGTTGTCATTGAACCTTGAT